TAGATAGTTTCCTGTTCCTCCTGAGGCAGGAAGATCAGAATGACCCCAGGGCAGAGGGCACAGTCTCTCCAAGAGAAGATTATAAATTCCCAGGACATGGGAAAGAAGCTTTCTTCCATATTCCTTTTTGATGGGCAAAGCCATGCAGGACTAAGTCTTTCACCTAGGGACTCTATCTTGCCCATGCAGCAAGGGATGATGGGGAGAAGTCCCAACTCGGAGAACTCAGGTAATACTGAACTGTCAGCTACTGCAGCTTCAAGGAATAATAACCTGTCCTAACTAAACAGCATTTAGGATAAGTACTGAGTGCAAGGTTAAGAGGATTGAGTGTTTTCACCTTTTCTTTGTATTCTTGTTCAGCCTCATGCTTGAACAAACTCTGTGTACTCTTTTTCTTCTGTTTATTAAACCTTCTTCAATTTTCAGTGCTTTAAGTCTGATCTCTGTAAATACACCATACCTATTCAGCCTGACTATCTGAAGTGTGGTAATAGGGAGAGGCAGCAGGTAAGCTTGCAATTTCAAGCCATCATGCTCAAAGGATGGCAAAGCTGTGATAGATCACCCCAGCAAACTGGGAGATGTGGCAAATAGGGGGAGCCTCTAAACTGCAACACAGGTACAAAGTGGTGGATGTGCAGATCTGTCCAGCAAGAGATACTCTCTGATTTGCTGGTGGCAGAGGTTACGACCCAGTTTGTTTTGGATACCCCCCTGGGAGTAAGGGCAAGAGATGGTGGCACCAAGCAAAGATTTGGGACAGCAGCAGGGTTTTTGGAAGTTCTGGAAATCTAAAGGAACAGGGCCTGCAAGTCTCTTCCTTCACAGCACAATTTGCCACTTACTATCTAAAACTGTTTATGGATTTTAGAAGTATAACACCCTTCGTTGCCTACGAGCAAACTGGGAATGTAGAGTATGAAAGTCAGCATGGTGTAGTGTTTAGAGTGCCGGACTAAGAGTTGAGAGACCCAGGTTCAAATCCCTACTCTGCAATCGAAGCTTGCTGGGGGACCTCAGGCCAATCACACACTCTCAGCCTCGCCTATCTCACAGGATTTTTGTGAGGAAAAAATAGAAGAGTGCAGAAAGATGTAAGCTGCCCTGTGTCCCCATAAATGTAATGAATGAATGAACAAATAAATAAATAGGCCCAATACCTGGCAGACAGAGCTGCAGACACGGCATCCTCTGCTCCCGTAGCACATGCATCTTAGGGCCTAACTACAAGTTACATTTTCCTTGCACTGCTCCTTCTTTTTCCATGAGGACCTTTTGACGGGCATTGCCTGGGGACTCTTGTGCTAGTAACTCAGGTCCTAGATATGTGGGAGGGGGCTGATTTATATCAGGACTGCAGTGCAGCAGGAGGAGAGGCTTAAGCTTTCTCCTGCATCATTTTTTCTGACCTAAGGCAGCCCAGGGGAGCCACTTTTTGCCCTGCCAGGAAAACGTGTCTGTTCTGATAGCTCTTTGTAGGTTTCCCCCACGAGGCTGTTTCAGGGTGGGGAAATGGCATGGCGGGGGTGGGGGGGCAGGCTTAAGCCCTTTCTCCTTGTGTGCGGTGTGCTCCCAGTCTGACTCAGGCCCCTGCATTCCTGGGAACTGAGTTTCTAGCACCAAAGCAGCCAGCAGCGAATGGCGCAGGGATGGGGGCTTGTGGATACCATTCGTGCACATCTTCACCCCGCTAAATGCATTTCCTGCTTCTGCATAGAAACAGCCTGAATCATGGAACTGTCTGGGTAACCCTGGGACCGGGGTTTTCACTTTACCTAGCCTACCTCATTGGGTTGTTGTGAAAACAAAGGCGGTGGTTCCCCCCCCCCCCCCCCGGTCAAGTCATAGATGACTTACAGCAACCCAGTAGGGTTTACAAGGCAAGAGATGTTCAGAGGTGGTTTGCCATTGCCTGCCTCCATGTCATGACCCTGGTATTCCTTGGGGGTGTCACACTGAGATACTAGTCATGGCTAACCCTGCTTAGCTTCCAAGCTCTAACAAGATCAGGCTAGCCTGGGCTATCCAGGTCAGGGCGAAGACAGTCGGGGGAGATAAACTACGTATGCTTCCCAGAGCTCCTGGGAAGAAGGGACAGGTTGCCTTCCACGGACTTGCCAGCTATTCCTTGCAGAGGTACTTGGTAGTCAATTGTCAAACCATGCTTAGCTTTGCTTGCCATAGTTATTGGGGGGAGGGAATTCCTGCGGGGAGTGAGAGAATGGGACCTTTGCTTCTAGAAGACATAACCTTCCTCGCAAGTCGCACCTCCTTTCCCTTTCCCAGGGGAAGGTGTCCTTGAGAGCTTCTCTGTACCAGCTTGAGCTGCAGATAACCAAGACGTATATGTGTCACTTGGTTGGGATGGCACCGTTAGGCATGGTGTGAATGTGACGTATGCCTGGGGGAAGGAAGGGGCTTTCATTCGAATTGTCTATATTAAGCATTTACCCACCAAAAGTCTTCAGTTCTAACACAGTGACTTTCTGGATCTTGCACACATCTCAATAAACTTATCACTGCCAAAGAGTGTTGAGTGTAACTGGACTGGGGGTCTGACATCAATACAATCTGCATGTTTTTCAGTTGCCCATTCTACAGACAGGCTTGTCTTAAAAACATTACCCCGTTAGTTGATGGGATACCTGGTCACATCAATACGAACAAAGCAAGACTTCACTGGCATCTATCAGATAAGAATGCAGTGATTACACGTTCAGTCACTGAGTTCTGTGCACTGATTCTTAGATTGTGGGAGCTGCTTTAAAAAGTTTTAAATAAAAGATTTTATTCTGTATATTATCTCTGTTTTTTCCTTCCTTTTCATACTATGTTTGTATTGTATGCTGGTCTTAAGGCCATAATAATAAAACTAAACTAAACAGTACTTGAAAAGGGGGCCATAAAGTAAACAAACCTGGATAGGGAGACGGCTTCTTGAGCCCCAGCACCTGTTTTTCTAGGAAGCTGCCCACTTACCAAAGCACAGGGCCATGGAACTATACAAGTCCGTCATAAAGAGAGAGCGCTTGTACAATCGAGGGGTCGGCCTTAGATCCCTCCTGGAACTCCTGCAGAGTGAGCTTCCCATCGGCATTCTGGAACAGAGAAGCAACGAGGCATCAGCAAGGGGCGGCAGGGTGCCTCGACACACAGGAATGCTGCCCACCCCACCACTTCTTGCCCCGCCTTTACCTCTTGCAATACTTGTTCTGTGTCCAAAGGCTGCCCCCCCATTGCCATCCTAAGCTGGGAGAGCTTTGTGGGACTCAGAAGCCTGTTTCCTAAGCCGCAAGGCCCTGCTGGTCTAAAGAAAGAGATCACCCCATTCTTCTGGATTCATTTAATGTGCTTCAGGACACGGTAAATGGAAGTCAGCAAGCAGCACAAGGGATCTTAGGTGTATTGTAATTGCAGAGCCGAAGGAAAGGGTTCTAGGGAACATCTTGCCAGCTGTACGACACCCAGCGCATGGCCCTGCTTGGCAGGCAGAAGGTCCCAGATCCAATCCTCAATACTGACCCTGCTGGGCCAAGGGTCTGATTCAGGATAAGGTAGTTTCGTGTGTGTCTCTCTCCTTCTTGCCTGGGCGTGGCTAAAGGCACGGGGCAAGAGGTAAAGGGCTTGGTCCTCGGTTCCCAGGATGGCCATTGCATGATTCACACCTGCCCGGGATACAGAATTGCTTACTTATTTGTTTAGTTAAATTACAGTTTGTTTGTTTACACCGTTGTTGACTTAAACTATACCTAGGTGTTTCCATAAGCCACTTCAGGTCTGTATTGAGGAGGAAAGAGGAGTAATAAATTATCTAGATACATAAACTGCCTAACTTCAGGGGTCCCCAACCCTTTTCAGCCTTTGGGCACCTTTGGAATTCTGGCACAGGGTACTGGATGCAACCACAAAATAGCTGAGCCAGCTAGGATGAGCCACCCCCCACTCCCAAAGAAGAAGAAGAAGAGATTGGATTTATACCCCGCCCTTCACTACCCAAAGGTGTCTCAGAGAGGCTCACAAACTCCTTTCTCTTCCCCTCCCCACAACAGACACCCTGGGAAGCAGGTGGGGCTGAGAGAGCTCTCCTGAGAACTGCCCTTGAGAGAACAGCTCTGACAGAACTATGGCTTGCCCAAGGTCATCCAGCCAGGTGCAAGTGGAGGAGTGGGGAAATCAAATCCGGTTCTCCCAGATTAGAGTCCGCTCACTTAACCACAACACCAAACTGGCTCTCCAAGTCCAAGCGCAGTGAAGAAAAGAGGTGACTTAAACAATACACCGGGAAGGAGGAGTAAGAGACGGCACAAAACCAACACAGTCATGGCAGGGGCCACCAAAGCGGTATTATTTTAATTTGCACAGCCAATCAGAGCTTCAGTGGCCAGTCACCCACTGTGCTGCTGGGCAAGAGCCCCACCCACTGTTGGGAATCCCTTGGGGGCTCCTGCAGGCACCACATCAGGGGGCCTAAATCACTGAACCAACAAAGCCAGCTGAGCCCAGCCTTGGTCCAGTGTGCCAAAGCCGTCTCCTCTGGCTGACGGCAGCTCTTCATCCGCCTGTAAGTAGAGATTCGGGGAACTGGGCCGAGGACCTCCATGCGCTGCACAGTCCTAGAATCACAGAATCATGGAGTTGGGAGGGACTTCCAGGGTGACATCTAGTCCAACCCTGGATATTTTTTAAAATGCAGTCCCTCTTCACTTTCTGCCTGTTCTCTGGATTTCTTTATCCTCCTGCAACTAGTGCTAAATTCTGTGGAAAGGCTGCTTAGACATTTAACTACATAGACACAAACCAACGCCCTCATCCTCCCACTCCAAAACACGAGTTAGGTCCAAGCAATGCTCCCTCTAAGCTGTGGAGTCCTGTGAGCAAAAATTCTACTTTGTGAGCTGCTGGCATTAAAGTTGTGAGCGAGTGATTTGGCTACTGCATAATTTAGTTTCCTTTGGAGCCATCCTTCTTGAGCTAAGACAAAAATCTGTGAGCTGGAGGCTAAACAACTGTGAGCTAGCTCCCACTAACTCAGCTTAGAGGGAACACTGCTTATAACCAATGCTCCCTCTAAGCTGTGGAGTCTTGTGAGCAAAAATTCTACTTTGTGAGCTGCTGGCATTAAAGTTGTGAGCGAGCGATTTGGCTACTGCAAAACTTAATTTGCTCTGGACCCATCCTTCTGTCAGCTATGCTGCCATGGGGGTTGGGGAGTTCATTCTGTATCTTGTTAATTGCTATTGCATTCCTATCCCCTTTGCTGAAACGCTTATCTCTACAGATGTGCTGGAGGAGGTTGTGTTGGCTGGAGAGCTCCTATGCACCGTGAGAGACTCCGGGTTCTCAGCTTTAGCCACCTAACGGTTGCCTGACTTCCCAGGTGTGGGAGGGGGCCTAATTGGCCCATGCCATGGGGGGGGGGGTACATACGAACACCCTATATCCTATTATGCTCTACTTGCTGTGCCCATTCTTAACAGTGCCTGTGTTACTGCATCCAAAGGTAAAGGTAAAGGTTCCCTTGCTTGAAAGCCAGTCGAATCCGACTCTAGGGTTGCGGTGCTCATCTCCGTTTCAAAGCCGAAGAGCCAGCGCTGTCCGAAGACGTTTCCGTGGTCATGTGGCCGGCATGACTAAACACCAAGGCGCACGGAACGCTGTTACCTTCCCACCGAAGTGGTACCTGTTTATCTACTTGCAATTCCTTGCTTTCAAACTGCTAGGTTGGCAGGAGCTGGAACTAGAGACAGGAGCTCACCCTGTCTTGCGGCACCCGGGTCTTGAACCGCTGAACTACTGACCTTCCACAGCCTGCAGTTCAGCGTCTTAACCACTTGAGCCATCTACAGCTTTGCAATAAAAGTATAACTGTTCCTGAATGTGTGTACTTCATTGTTAGCTGTGGGTTCTGACACCTTCGCGAGTGAAGACAAAAATCTGTGAGCCAGAGGCTAAAAAACTGTTGGCTAGCTCACACTAACTCAGCTTAGAGGGAACACTCAAGCATTGTGATGCAGAGACTCCTTTCTGCCTGCGGCTGTATTGCTGCACCTATGGAAGGACGCTTCTGCACATGCAGCTCTCACGGAAGAGGTCAACTACTCGTGGCTCCCGGACAAACCCAGCTCCTCTGCCCGCCTCCCTGGAACTGTCGCGGGGAAAGGGGAAGGATGGCTTTGATGGCAACAGGGCTTGGTAACGGAGCCTTTGGGCAAGAAGGCCACCCACCCGCCACCAACCTCTCTCATCAAAAGAGGACTCCACTAAACTAGCAGCTGGTCAAGTCCTTATGGATCCCCGATGCCCAAAGGCCAGATAGGCTGTGGCCCGCCGTGAATCCTGGATCTCTTGACCCACTCCCACACATGCAAACTGTCTTCTCTCAAAAGGCACAAAGGTGATGTGGTGCAAATACCAGCCCAATCTAGCCTGACCTGTTGCAGATACAAATGGACCGAAGCAAAGCAGGGGCGATGGCGGCTGTGTCTGTGCACACTGGGCTGAGAAGCCCCAAGGCTGTACTGATGCCAGAAGGCGCCTGAAACAACATACTTTGTCCATCATGGCAAAAATCCGGTCCACCCTTTTCTCTGGTGTGTTTTCCTCCTCTGGAAGCTCCACCGTGTTGCCCTGTTGAAAGCAGGAGAGGAAACCTGTCAGGAGAGGAGACGGGCCACTCCCCTTCTCGTCTTCCTGTCCTTTTGACTGAAAGGTCCTGAACAGATCAAGGGCCAGCCCACTCACAGGCCACCACCGACCCTCATCTGCAAGGAAAAACTGGACCGTTTCTTCAGATGGTAAATTCACATAGCCTGTTAAGAGGGAGGACAAATACCTTCCTCTCAAATCAGACCAGATTTCACACTCCGATAAAATACGTTCTAAGAACTCAAGCTGACCAGATCCACATTTACAAGCTCTGTCTGAATACTGCAGGGCTGCAAACTGGCCTTCCAGTAAGGCTGGGGGGAAAGAAGTTCACTGAGCAAGCGTCAATACCCTTTTGTAATGAGGGATTGTTAGGTCTTTTAAGTGACTCAGAATAGCATAGATCTTGGCTCTCCTATAATCCCGCTTTGCCCACATCATCGTAAACTCCCTGGAGCAGAAGCAAAAGCAAAAGCATTCATACCTCCTTCACAGCCCCAAGCGCCTTGCTGGCTCGAAACAGAAACAAAGCAGTGGTTGCGGGAGTAATCACGGAGTTAGGGGGCTTAGAGGCCATCTAGTCCAACTCTTTGCTCGATGCTGGACAGATGGCTATTCAGCTTCTGCCTGAAGATCTCCGGCATGGGAGAGCCTTTGCCCCTGGAAACCGGTCACATGGTTGAATTGCTCTTACCGTTAGGAAGTTTCACTAGAAACTTTACTCTCCTGGAATTCGGGCCGTCACAGGAAGCTGTACTTGTTTCAGTCCAGCTGAGCCTCAATAACCTGACGTGCTATTACCAATCCTGCAAACTAAATGTACAAAAGCTTACTAGTCCCTAAGATGTTTTATCAGTCCCACTGACGGAGCATATCTGAAACAATAATTTGTGAACACAGGAGCGGCTTCAAAGAAGCTTCTTCGTATGGATGTCTGGAGGCAACTTTTACTCCTCCCAGGTGACCAGAGGGGGTGGCTATTTATAGACCTGTACCAGGCCTCAAAAAATAGGGGGGAGGAGGTTGGAATCATCCACCCCTCCCTCCACTGTCTGGCAGTAAAAAGCCCGGAGAGTCGCTGCCCCGGACAGCTGCTCGGCACACTCACCACCATCTGGTAAATGGCGTCTACAATGTCCAGCATCTCGTTCCTCGTGATGTACCCATCGTTGTCCAAGTCGTACAGTTTAAAGGCCCCTGAAAGGATAGGGAAGGTTTATGGTTGGCAGTTGGAGGAGGGAGGAAGCACGTCGCCGGTAGCAAACTGCAAGTGCAGACAAGCCACCCACAAGACGATGACACAGGTGTCAACCAATCCCGGTGTGTGCATTTAATTGTTACTGGTGAATGGGCTCAAGGAAAGCTCCTTCTACAAAGCAAGCAGTAAATTAAATCACTGCGTTGGGCTAAGAGAATGGCAAGATTGAGGCGTAAGCTAAATGCATCCAGGCTTCAGACGTTTTTGATGCAGAACTGGCAACCCTTTGCAAGAGACGGGTCCACGTGTATGTGTAGGACCTACGGATTAGGACTGAGGCTGCAGGCTTTGATAATCCGCTAACTGAGAGCAGGTGTAGCGTGGTGGCTAAGAGACAGACCAGGATAAGCTTGGCTCGGATTGTATGTCCTGGAAGACCAAACGCATGAAACTGCCTTATACTGAACCAGTCCATCAGGGCCAGTCTTGTCTACTCAGACAGGCAGCCTCTCTCCAGGATTACAGGCAGAGGTCTTTCGTGTCACCTTCTGCCTGTTCCTTTTAACAGGAGATGCTGGGGATTGAACTTGGGACCTTCTGCATGCCAAGCAGATGGTCTATTAGTGGCCGATGGCCCGGAAAATTCACCCTCGTGTTTTCTGAATATCTCCTATGAGCTCATCCTCCAATACGATTCTGCGGTATGCACAGAACAAGTGGGTAAGTCTCTGTGTGAAAGAATAAAGGGATGTAAGCGTGGCACAAACAGGGACAAAATTAAAAAACCCGGGGGTGAATAGGCTGGTTGGTCCTCAGCTGCTGACATGCAAGCCAGCATTCTCCAACAAAGAAACATAAAATGGAGTCTCCGACAGGAAATTGCTGAATTAAAATTCATCAGCAGGTTCAATGGTATTGGGCAGGGGCTCAACAATTCTGAAACTTCTCCGTCTCTACAGGTGTTAAACTGCTTAACACCGTGATACTCACTTAGTGGCTTGGGAGCCACACGGGGCTCTCTGAAGACAGGACATGAGGACATGAAGCTGCTTTGAGCTGAATCAGACCATTGGTCTATCGAAGTCGGTATTGTCTACTCAGACTGGCAGCAGCTCTCCAGGGTCTCGGGCAGAGAAAGGTCCTTCACATCACCTGCTGCCTGTTCTTCTTTAACTGGAGATGCTGGGGATTGAACCTGGGACCATTTACCTGCCAAGCAGATGCTCTGCCACTGAGCTCCTGTTAAATGTTGACATGCCACATGTGGCTCTTTGGGGCAATGTTTCTGCCTCTATAGCTTGGCACCCTCCCCATGTTCCAGGAAAGTGGGCAAGATGACGAGGGGGTTGGAGCACCTTTCCTTTGAGGAAAGGCTGAAGAGTCTGGGACTTTTCAGCTCAGAAAAGAGATGACTAAGAGGGGACATTATAGAGGGTTACAAAATTATGCACGGAGAGTTGAGAAAGAGATTTTTTCCTCTTGCTCCCCAAATACTAGAACTTGAGGGCATCCAATGAAGCTGATGGGCAGTAGGTTAGGGACGGACAAAAGGAAATACTTCTTTACACAGAGAGTGATTAAAATGTGGAATTCGCTGCCAGAGGATGAAGTGATGGCCACAAGCATAGATGGCTTTAAAAGGGAATTAGACAGATTCATGGAGGACAGGTTACTAGCCATGATGACTAGAGGGAACCTCCATGTTCAGAGACAGTCAACCTCTTGAGTGCCAGAGCCAGAAGGCAACATCAGGGGAAGGCAACTTCTGACAGCAGAAAATGGTGGTGGGGGGCTGTCCCACTGCCAGTTCCATGGGTCTGCCCTCTGGCGGCCCCCCCTCCCCCCCCGCTGCCATTTTTTGCTGAGGTGGAGAAGGTGGAGAAGCCCTTCCTGCCGCCATGCCGTGCTCTACAGCCAACTCCCCCCCCCCAGTTATTCTGACGGTGGGTCCAGGGTCAGATGTGACATGCGAGCCGGGCTGGAGAAATCCCTTGCTTGAGTTTCACGAGACCCTACGGGATCCATGTGACCACCGACTTGAATGACCAAGGGGGAGGCCACAGCTCAGTGGCAGAGGCTCTGCTTGGCATGCAGAAGTTCCCCGGCTTCTCCAGTGAGGCTTAGGTGGTACGTGACGTGGAAGACCTCTGCCTGAGTCCCTGGAGAAGCCGCTGCCAGTCTGAGTAGACATTACTGACTCTGATGGACCGATACTCTGATTTAGTACCAGGCGGCTTCATGGGGTCATGGATTCACTATGTCTACTGCCAACATTCCTTTTTGGTTTTGCACAGAAATGTCACAAACCAGTCCTTTCAGCCCAAAGTCCATGTTTTTGGGGTGCTGGGTTTTGTTCACGAATTTCTTCCTGACTGAGGATTTGCTTGACTACACCCAATGAAGTGGGATCTAGCACTGAAAAACTTCTGCTACAACAAGTCTGGGATCTTAAGAACACTTTCCAGAGAGTAAGTGCCAATGAAGAAAATGGGGTTTGCTTCTGAGTAGACCTGTTTAGCTTGCTTTCTAAATCTGTTAGTCTTCAAGGTGCCACACAGGGTTTCTGATAAGGGCAGCACAGGGCTGTTGCTGAAGCAGAGCAACTTGGCTACCCTGGTGGTCATAGGGTTGCCACTTCTGGGTTGGGAAATACCTGAAGATTTTTTGGGGGGGAAGGTGGAGCCTGAGGAGGGTGGCGGGGAGACTTTCCTGGGGTACAATGCCACAGAGTACGCCTTCTTTTCTTCAGGGGAACATATCTTTGTCGCTGGGAGATCAGTTATCATCCCAGAGATCTCCAGCCACCCCCTGGAGATTGGCAACCCTACTGCTGGGAATCATGTTTGCTAGAGAAAGTTTAAGTTTCAAATGATCATTTGGCCTGGGGATTAACAGTGAGGGATGGAAATAACAAATCCCAGTTTTTCAGGTTCCAAATTTCACTTACACCGCAGCTTTTCGTCTAACGTTCCTCGAGAAGTGACCGACAGGGCCTGGATGAATTCTGAAAACTCAATCCTTCCATCCTGAGAAGAAAAATGGAGTTGGTGAACGGAAGCCTAGACACATGACCAGTTAAACAAGCTGTTTAGACATTGGCCACATATTTTGAAAGCATTAGCTTTTTTATAGAATAACCAAAAAAAAAAACCCTTTAACCACCAACATGTTTAATTAAAAAAAACAAAGTCATCATCTTTTGTTGTAAAACAAGCTTTCCTGCATTCTCATTTTCCTCACTAGTGTGTTCCTGTTTCTTTGGGATTTTTTCCTGTTCTGTGTGTGCTTTTCTCCCTCTAGCAGTCAATTCAATATTACACCAAATTATGTCCTGCAAAACCTGCAGCTTAAACCTGCAAGGAGATATGCCAGACATAGATGCAATATTGAATCAACCACTAGAGGGAGCAAAACGCATACAGAACAGGACCACCCCACCCCAAGAAACAGGAACTTGCAGGTGAGGAATATAAAAAGGCAAAAACGCCCAAAGACGTAAGTCTTTTTTTTTTTAATGTACTGTGTTATTATAACTTTTATCAACCCTGAGGAAGCTTTCTATAACTGTGAACAATTCACAAAACAAGCCTTTTCTTTTGCTTTTTTCCTGGCCTACAGTTCCACTTTAAAAGAAAGTAAATTAAATGAAAGCTGAAATAAAGCCAAGAAAACCTACACGTTAGAGAGAGCAAGGGCTTTAGCATAGCTCCCCTCCCTGAGTGGCTTGTTTATTACATGCAAGGAGATTTTTACCTGGGGGATCACTGAAACCATTATCTCCTCTGTGGCCGGCAGTGGCCAGTCCACAACTCTCTCCTTCTGGGCACTGAAACACAGGCGATGGCCGATGGCCGGATCATTTTCATTTACTTACTTTATGTATATCCTGCCTTTCTTCCCAATGGAGGCCCAAAGTGGCTTTCATCCTCCTCCTCCTCCTCCTCTCCTCCATTTTATCCTCACAACAACCCTGTGAGGCAGGTTAGGCTGAGAGTGTGTGACTGGCCCGAGGTCGCCCAGCAAGCTTCCAAGGCAGAGTTGAGATTCGAACCTGGATTTCTCAGATCTTAGTCCGAAACTTTAACCACTATACCACGCTGGCTCTCTGGGTACTTTTGCTTACCTGTGGCATGACGTAATTGCTCCATGAGTTTATCTGGGAAGCCAGAGGACAGCTATAAGAAGCATACATTGCGTGGCTGGCTGAGAGGGTGGTGGATGCAGTGGCATGGGCTCCAATGCCCCTCTCTTTAGACCAGGGACTGTCCTGCTTTGGTGGCATCTGTCCCAGGCAAACCACTGTTCCTATTTTGTGTATGTTGTGAACCGCCTCGGAGAGGGTGCAGGTTATAAATCAAATAAATCAATAATGAATGAATGAATGAATGAATGAATGAATGAATGCAGGGCAGGTCACAACCAGTGCTCCCTCTAAGCTGAGTTAGGGTGAGCTAGCTCACAGTTTTTTAGCCTCCAGCTCACACATTCCTGTCTTCACTCAGGAAGGATGGGGCTCCAGAGCAAACGAATTTATGCAGTAGCCAAAGCGCTCACTCACAACTTTAATGCCAGCAGCCCACAAAGTAGAATTTCTGCTCACAGGACTCCACAGCTTAGAGGGAGCATTGGTCACAACAGAGGAAGTCCATGCCACAGGTAGAGCAGAGCCCTCAGCAATGAGTCATATTAGGGTGGGGGGGGGGTGAGGATAGAGGGATTATGTGAATGCCCCTGTTTTCGTCTGTAAAATGTGGCAGCTGCTCCCGCACTGCAGCGTGGGGTTAGAATAGATCCCCTTTTCCTCCACCTCTCTCTCAGGGGCCCTTGCCCCCAAATGGTGCCTCTGGGAAGAATTTCAGGTCCACACAGACTTAGCTTTTCCGTGCCCCTTTTGAAGAGGAGATGAGCCCATAAGCCACTGGTGCCGGGAGGAGCCGGGAGGAAGAAGAAAAGAGCAGCTCCCCGATTAGCACCAAGCTTTGCTGCCGTTTGCCAGGGAAAAAGCTTAATCGGGTTGTCAACGTAAAAAAGCCGTCCTGTAATTCCTGCCGCAGATAATTCCACAAGCTTTTTCTTGATCAGGGCAGGGAGGGAGGGAGCCAGGCCCGCCTTGTGGGCTTTTGTCAGTCAGACAAAACATCTTTCCCCACAACTCCCTGCTTTTAGTAATTCACTTAATATCCGCCTCTCTATAACCCAAGAGCCAAGAAAATAATAACTCAGCTCCTGAGACTAGTCTGAAGGCAGCAGCTTCATACGGGGAGAGGGTTCTATCTGCTGTACTTCTGGGTGGGAATATGGAAGGAATGGCAAAAGCCCTCATTTCTGAGGAGGGAGCTCAAAACAGCAAGGGCCCGGAGGTTTCAGAGGAGGCTGCACGGAGGAGAACTTACTTTGTTTTCGTCAAAGACGTTAAAGACAAAGGTTGCAAACTTGGTCGGGTCTCCAAAGGGGAAGAATTGCTTGTAGATCTTTTGGAATCCAGCTGCATCCAGCTGCCCACTGGGACAGTCCTTGATAAAGCCTTTGTACCTGAGAGAGACAGAGAGAGAGTTAGGGAGTCAGAAATCTTGAAGGGCTATGAACTGCTTTAAGCAAGTTTAAACCATTGGTCCCTTCAGTGTAGGGCCAAACTATACAAGATGTTTGGAGTCCTGTGAATGAACTCTCAAGCTCCTTTCTTCCTTTTAAAAGACAGTGCGTGGCCCCCGATTTCAGCTAAGACCATGGGAGGGGGGGGGTTAAGCCTCTCTCCCCAGCTGTTTTTCTGACCTGAAATGTCCTCGTAGAGCAGCTGTTCACACGACTGGACACTCAGGGCAACTTTAAAGGCCAGAACTTCAATTATTCACCCTGTTTCAATGCTGCATTTCCAATGAAAAACCCTTTTGAGGTGACTCACCGAAATCCATTAAAGCAGGAGGAAAACAAAGACTAAGAGCGAGTGGCATAAAAATCAATAAAACAGCAACAAGATAATTAAAAGTGGCAACACTCCGCTGCCTTTTTAAAAAAGCTATCAGCATCCAAAAGAGAGAAAAACACACCGAAAGCTCGGTAACAGGCAACTGAGGGACCAATGAAAAGGCAGATTATTGATCAGCATTTATAACTGCATGAGATCGTGCCATTGTGTGCAGCTTTTCTGAGTGCCGCACTAGGAGTCACGCAGCAACATGCACCTCCCGACTGGGACCCTTGTTTTGGACGGCTTCTTATCGACATTTGTTTACTGTATTTATAGCCCACATTTCGTGCCAAGACTCAAAGAGGATCGCACGACCTAAAACAATGTACTCAGGCAGCAAAATGTATCTGACAAACCAGGCGACAGAGCCAGCATTACAAAAGGTAGAAAGGAACAATGCAAAAAGAAAAAAGATATGAAACACGAGACAGAAAGTCCATAGCAAAGGTAGACCCTGAACATTCTTTCACTTTGGAAGTGAATATGCTTTCGTGAGTCACTCCTCAGTTCTTCAGATATCTCAAGAAGTGAGCCGTGACTCATGAAAGCTCCTCCCCTGCCACCAGGGCCGGCTCGAGGTGCGTCTGCACCCTAGGCAGGCGCAGATGCCAATCTCCCGTTGGGGCCTGGAGACCCTTTTGCTGCCGCCGCCTCCCACCTCCCAGGGGGAGGGGGAGGGCGGATGAGCTGCGGCACGGGTCTGGCTCGGGGGTGGGGCCGGGCAGCAGAGGGGGCGGCCCCGCAGAGCCTGGAGCGCAGACGAGAGAGCCAGAGGGAAGGAGCGAGAGATGAGCTGGGCGTCCTGCACCGGTGGCGGCAGCAGCAGCAGACCCCCAGGGCGGGCGGAGACACAGATCTCCAGGGCGTGCGCGCGCGGGGGAAGTCAGTGGGCTTCCCACGCGGAAATTTTTGAGGTGCTGCTGCCACTCAGTAAGAACCGCTTTCCAGTCGCGGGATCGGGTTGCAACATGCAGGGCAGCCAGAGGCTCTTTGGAAGGATCAAATAAAAGCAAACAATCCAATCCACCCCCTCTTATAATTTGCTACGGAGATCATGCCTCCAGCTTGTTTTGTCGGCCTGCTTTCCTGCAACTCCTGGTGCTCATCCGCCTCCTCCAGCTCCCCCCCCCCAGATCTCCTCACTCAGCCCCGTGAGCACCGGAGAAAACACAAGCTAGATGATTCCTGTCTCAGCACCGCGCAACCAAGTTGGGGTGCGAAAGCCAAGCCAAGCTCTACCCACAGCAGGGAAGGGGCGCAGCAGAGCAGCCTCTCTGCAGGGCAAAGAAGCCACTGGGGGCGTGGGAGAGGGTGTGGCGGCGAGGAGTGAGCAGGATCGCGCGGGTGCGGCTACTCTGCCACTATCAGGGCTACTTTTTAAAGGGAGCTCCGCGGGGGGAGGGGGTACGGGCGCATGCGAGAGAGAGGTTTTCCTTTCCTGATTCCCTGATTGCTGAGAGAGGAGGAGATGGAGGCAGGGCGAGCAGATGGCGGGCGACGAGGTGTGCTGCTGCATCGTGGTGCACATGTGCTAGGATTGCACAGCTCTGAAGTGCAGAGCCACGGCCGCCCACGGGCCACGCTCCCCACGCGCCGCCCGCGGGTTCCCCGGCAAAAGCTTCCCCGGCCTCCCTACGCCGGGCGCTCCTGAGTTGCTAAGGGCAAACTGACCCCGGCCCTGCGCGCGAGAGGGGGCGGGCGCCCAGTTAGGGGGGCGGGGCACAGCTTGGCACCCCTGAGGGGCGGCCCACCCTAGGCGAGCCCCTAGTTCGCCTAGCGGGCGAGCCGGCCCTGCCTGCCACAAATTTTGCTAGTCTTTAAAAGGTGCTGCTGGACTCTTGCTCTTCTCCACTTTGGAAGAGAACACCAAGATCTCCCTTCCCAAAGAAGTCTGCCTCACGTCCACCTAACACATATTTGAGGGCCAGTTGAAAGTGGTGGGCTTTAAGAGAGCCACGGCAGGTTTCAGTTGAGATTTCATCGCTCTGCTGTTCCACACTGGCTGGATTATGTAACCGACTGCATTTTCCCTCTTTTCTTAAAGACAAACTGGCACAGTCTGTTTTTAATTCAATTGTTCTGAGCTGCCATCTAGGTCCGATCCCTCAAAAGATGGAGCAGGAATATCTGAAATGAGCAAAACAAAACTTTAAAACTATTTGCCTGTCTCTTGCAGGTTCCCCGACAGTCAATGAAAACCGACTCTTTGTGCCCTTTCTGCAGCGAAAAGACTCATATTACAACATTGGAAAGCTAAAAGCCCACCTCCGGTAAATCAATGGATTGGGGACCTTAGAATGCGATCAATCTTTGGATGCATGGCAGATAGACGGCCATGGCACACGGACTTATTTTTAGATATTTGGAAACCGCTTATAGAAACGTATGCATAGATCCGCCACCACTGTTGTTATATATTTTTTTGTCTTTATGTAGGTCTCTTTTCCCGTTTTTAAAAAAGCCTATTTCGTTGATGGATTATCAATTATTTTCCTTGGTTTTTTTTAAAAGAAATGAACAAAACCTCAGAGCCGGATCCCTGGGTGCACAGTCCATTCCTGTCCCAGGCCTTTTCCAGAGGGCATCCGTGGCTAACGAAGTGCAGCCCTGCGGGGGGGGGGGAGGCTGGGGGTTAACAAGGCTTCTGGGCATCCGTCAGCATCCGTGAGTCACCAGCTCCCGCGTCCAAAGAGAGACAAGCCACGGCTGTCATAAATCTCACCCCAGAATTCCCAGCGGAGCCAATGGGAACAAACGGCCAAAATATTTATAATTCGTCCTTTTTCCTGGCTGTTACTTCTGATTTAGGTAAGGCAGCAGCCGGTGTTAGAATAATATTTACAGGGAAAGGGACCTTGATGGATGCGGCAGCTGTCACGGAGGGACTCTGGCTTACCTTTCCCCAAGTTTGTTGTTGCAGGGTTTATCCTAGGGAGCCTCCCTTAGGCTGGCATTAGTCTTCTCCATATAAGCTCACTGACGGGGGAAATGGGTGGGCTGGCCCACTGTCCTCAGGTGGGGCACAGCCTCACTTCTCGGGTCATGCAATGCTTTGAGGCCCAGGATTCGGCTGGACCCTTCTGATGTTCTGCTGACGGAAGGCAGCGGAAGACCCACCTCACCGAGCCGCTCTCCAGACTGCCACCGTCAGGCCCACGGCGGCTTCCGAGGGTGATCCACGTTGGTCTGCGGAAGGGCAGCTGGATCCCAGTCCAGGGGGGCCTTCGGGACCCACCAGAGTCTTCCAGGGAAGGAGCTTTCGAGAGTCGGAGGTATCTGACGAAGGGAGCTCTGACTCTCAGAAGCTCAGACTCGGGAGAGCTTGCTGGTCTCTGCGAGCGGCTCCTGGGCTTGAACCTGCCTGTCCCCTGGAGCTGTGTGGCTCTTGGTCTGCGAGAGTCTGCCGGCTCCTGACCGTGTGTTCCCACAGGTCACAGGGAGCTGCGAGGAGGGTTGCCAGCTCTGGATCGGGAAATGCCTGGAGATTTTTTTGGGGGAGGGGGTGGAGCCTGGAAAGGGCGGGCTTTGGGGAGGGGAGGGGCCTCAGCAGGGCTCAAGGCCACAGAGCCCACCCTCCGAAGCAACCATTTTCTCCAGGGGGAACCGATCTCTGTCCCCTGGAGATCAGTCATGAAAGTGGGAGATCTCCTGGCCCCACTCAACCCCAGCGGCAAGGCCTGCTTCCACCAGCAGAATGTCTGCAGGATACGGCCCACAGTGCTGTGGAATGTTCTAGAGGCATCACTCAAGCAGCCGTGGGTGTGGGTGGCACCCGGCCAGCAGGATCCACCTGGGGGAAAGGAAGAGTCCCATACTGGCAGTTGGTAAACCTCGCTCAGCCTTGGCATTTACTATTTATTTATATCGCACCTTTCAACATAGTTGTTGTTCTCACAACAACCCTGTGAGCAGGGATCATTTCGTAAAAAAAGAGGTGCAGGAGCTCATTAGCATAACTCATTAGCATAACCTATTTGCATATGCCACGCCCCCTGACATCACCAGAAGTGTGTCAGAAGGCAACCCCCACCGCTCAGGCTCCACTGGACTCTTTTGGATTGCTAGCTATTGGGGGGGGGGGACACATGCAGATCTGTCCTCGGAGAGGAGGGAGAGCTTGTACCTGAATAAAACTTGGTCTTAAAGGTGCCACTGGACTGTTTTGGACCGGGGGGGCGGGCTCTGCAACTTACCTGGCTGCTTCTTGCTCTGACTGAGGGCTGCTGGGAGCAGGGGGTGGGGCTTGTTGCATGTGCCCGCCCCCTGGGCTCTTTACTGCTGGAGCTCCGCTCCTGTGCGCTCCTGCAGGAAATGACCCTTGCCTGTGAGGTAGGTTAGGCTGCGAGTGTGTGACCAGACCAAAGTCACCCGGCCAGCTTCCAGGGCAGGAGTAGGGATCTGAACCTGGATTTCCCACATTCTGCTGCAACACTTTAACCACTATGCCAGGCTGGCTCTGTCAAAACTTCTGCTTTCCCCTCCTCCAAGAGGGGTGTGGTCTCGGGCTTTGACACTGAACTGTAGAGTCCCACGGAAGTGCAGCAAGCTCCTTCCTACCACGCAG